GGTATGAAGCAGCAGCAAGATTCCCATGGCCTGTAGCTCACTTCAAGGAGTATCAGCACAGCAGGCTTCCTGTATGAAAACCTGACCCACCTCATACACCACAAAAGCATTTGCAGCCAACACAACCTACGGCTTACAAACAATAAACACCTTTTCAGCTAGTGGCCTGAGGACCATCAGGAACAGATGCAAGCCAGACTTGGCAACCAGGCAGCAACCTGATCAAAACAAGTTTTTAAAAAAAGTATTTGTTTCCAGTTTAGCCAATCCACCTTGTCAGATCTTCACATAAAAGCCAAATTCCCTGGTTATCAGTGTGCCATTACTGGAAGCAATGGTAATAGCAGCTCAAAAAGTTTTGACTGGCACTATAAAAATCTTTTCCCTTGGAAGAGCTGTGTGGCTCTAGAAGAGGTTACCGGAGAGGATGGGGAACCTCTGTTCAGGACTTTGATGGAAAGGAGCCACAGATAACCTGCTCTTATGTTGCCAAGAATTCTGTATTGAGCAGAAATTTGTACAAGACCTTCCAGAGACCCTTCAAGCCAACATTTCTGAGTCAGTTAACCCATTCATTCTGACACGGGCAACCTCTGCAGAGGCAGCGCTGCCTGCAGCACATGCTCTTTCCTGAGTACTGCCAATGCCAGACCTCATCTGCAAAGCTCATCACTGGCAGCAACCTTCTAGTCAAGAATGCTGCAGTCAACATACTGCTACCGAAGTCCAAGCTTAACATCTAGCACATCCATGCTATTAAAAAAAAAAAAAAGTACTTTTCAGCACTTGTTTGCATTATGATAAATTGGCAGAACTGGCTGCCCAAGCAAACTTACAAAATAAACATCTAACTATTCACGTACAGTGTCTACATTCTCTAACTACTAACTACTCCATTTTAAAAGCACAAAAGCACTGCATCTTATCTGAAACAAATACGCAGGAAACTACTATGACAGCTTCCTAACAGCTATTAAAGTGAGAAGGGAGAAACCAAGTTAAGTGCTCACTTGAAAAAAAATAATTTATTACTGAATAACCAAGAGTAGGAGAAGCTTTATGTATTTGGCACAATAACTCTGATTCCTACATATATTTCACATTTCATCTTAAATAAAAATATTTAATCATAGAAACATATCATAGAATATTAGAATGGTCTGGGTTGGAAAGGACCTTAAGACCACCTAGTTCCAACCCCCTGCTATGGGCAAGGACACCTCACACTATACCATGTCACCCAAGGCTATGTCCAACCTGGCCTTAATCACTGCCAGGGATGAAGCATTTACTGTTTTTTTGGGCAACCTATGCCAGTGCCTCACCATCCTCACAGTAAAGAACTTCCTTCTTATATCTAACCTGAACTTCCCCTGTTTCAGTTTAAACCCATCACCCTTTGTCCTATCACTACAGTCCTTGATGAAGAACCTCTCTCTGGCATCCCTGTAGGCCCCCTTCAGATACTGGAAGGTTGTAGAGGACTCAGTAGAGGCTGAGGTCTCCATACAGCTTCTCTTCTCTAGGCTAAACAGCCCAAATTTTCTCAGTCTATCTTCATATGAGAGGTGCTCCAGCCCCTGATCATCCTCATGGCTTCCTCTGGACTTGCTCCAACAGCTCTATGTCCTTCTTACGTTGAGGACACCAGAACTGCAGCGAGTACTCAGTGGGGTCTCACGAGAGCAGAGTAGTGGGGCAGGATCACCTCCTTCAACCTGCTGGGACAAGAGAGAACATTTTCCACGAAACAAAACAAATTAATGTTAACTAAATCTGCATTCTCAAACTGTTCATGGTCAGGTGTAGCCAAGAGGAGATGTACAACTGCATTCAGATGAGTAGATTTCCCCCTCCAAGCACTGCATGTTGCAGAAAGCACATCCCAGTATGCTGCCGAGTTTGTCAGCTGCAGTGGGCCCCTCAGCTGTACTTCCCGCTTCATCTCAAAGCTGCACGTGTACATGCCATTTAAATTATTCTAATGTTTAGAGCAATATTCTGGCCAGGAGTCTGTTCCTAAGATAGGTTTCATTCAGAGAGATGTGCTTCTTTGTTCCCATTAATAGTGTATTCTAGAAAATACACAACTTTGCTCTGAATCAGGAAGCTTCTCATTTTAAATGTGAAACTGGGAGGACAACAATGATGTCCTGAGAAGAAAATTAAGCATATGTATGTAACAATATGCGAGTACCTGCCATGGGTTTTTTAATGGTAGTACTTCACTTCTGTTCAAAGTTATTACAATTCCTTTTTTAATCCTTTATTTTATGAATTGATGCGCTTGCCATTATATTATAAAGCTTTATTCATTTGACTTATATCAAGTAACTTACAAAGGAGGTGGAGGGGGGCTCAGAGACAAATCAAGTTTACTGTATGTAACTGCATATGAATAAAAAATCTTCAACTGAAACCCTGTCATATTTTAATGTTTGAAGTTTGTAGGACAGCTACACACTCAATTCTTATGTGTAAGAAATACATAACTTATTAGAGACTGGTGTTGATGCATGCATGGAAAAATTTCTATAATGGAATAGAGTCTTAATTAACTCAGTCCTCCGCCTTTTATGTTCACACTACTGTGTTCTGGGAACCTCACTGCAAGAAAGACATTTTGGTGCCAGAGAAGGTCCAGAGAAGGGCAATGAAGCTGAGAATGAGTCTGGAGCACAAGTCTGATGAGGAATGGCTGAGGGAACTGGGAGGGTTTAGTCTGGAGAAGAAAAGGCTCAGGGGGGGACCTTACTGCACTCTATAACTACCTGAAAGGAGGTTGTCATGAGGTGGGGGTCAGTCTCTTCTTCCAAGTAACAAGCAACAGGACAAGAGAAAACAGCCACAAGCTGCACCAGGGGAGGTTTAGGCTGGATATTAGGAACAATTTTTTCCCCAAGAGCGTAATCAGGCATTGGAACGGGCTGCCCACAACAGCGGTGGAGTCACCATCCCTGGAAGTGTTCACAGACTGTGTAGATGAGGCTCCCAGTGATGTGGTTTAGTGATGGCCCTAGCAGTGCGGGGGAAAAGCTCGACTTGATAACCTTTTCCAATCTAGTTGATTCTATGATTCTATTACTCTACCAGCTCCTCTTAAATACACAGAGGGAACCTTCATAATTTTCTGTTTTTAAAAAGGAAATTGTTTCACCAGAGCGTAACGGCTCATTTTCAACTCAGTTCAGAATCTGACCCAAGACTGTCCATTAACTCTCCCTTCAGCAATTAAAATGATGACTACTCATGTCACTTATTTTCCATGAAGCTAAACCATCAATTCAAAGGAGTAAACAACAGCACAGAGCAAGGAAGAATGCTATACCTGCTGTCTTATACAAAATTATGGTCATGACAATTGTGCTACTTCAGAGAAGGAAATCACATTATAACTTCTAAATTATAAAGTTCAGAGTTGCAAAAAGTAGTTATCTGTATTGTCTTCCAACATCCTTAAATCATATGTGTTACCTACAGTTTATAAAAATGAAAAATTTGGTGGTATTTTTTCCATTTACCATCACTACTTCTCAAAAACCCAAATTGTAGCTGCAATGACTGCCAACAAACTATAACAGCTAGTAGCCATCTGCCAAGCTGAAGTTGTCACACCAGAGTATAAAACCAGCCCACTGCCCCATTACCACTTCCTTCGCAAGTCAGCTGCCCTCCACTCGCAGGTAAGGAGAGGACTCTCACAAAGCCCAGGTGACACTACCCTGCACAGAACAAGGATATACAGATTCTCTGACACCCTCTCCTCAAGCCCTGATTAGTTACAGAGGTTTCTCCACCCAGATCCTGCTTCCAAAAAAATCCACTGCTTAGAGCACTCTAAGAATATAAAATAAGAATATAAAAAAAGTTTACAAAGTACTCTACCATGACTCTCACCAATATACTTAAGACATACATGACTAAAGAAGTACATCATTTTCTTTTCTTGCTTCTGGCAAAGAGCTGCTGTTGATGGCAAATCTAGTGCAAAAGTCAAAAACAAAAGCATTTCAGGCCAAGTACACATTTCCTCGTATTTCAACGTTTTCACAACGGCACAAAAGCCACCTGAAAGAGTCTAAGACTTCAGGATGAACTGATTAGTAGTTTTGGAAGAGCAGCCACTGCAGTGGTGTTCAGCCTAGACTGATGACTGAAACAAAAGAACAAAAACAAGAAAGTGTGAAGTAAAGGTTAATTGTACACTATGTTGTGTTGGTGCTATAAAACTAGCTCAGTTAAATTATGTAAGTGACCTTGTGTTAGAACTGCTTGGAGAAGTAGGCAGCTTCGGATGGGAGACTCAACCAAGACGATTTTAGAATAAATATCTACAAACTGGTTAAAGTATGGGAATTATCCCCCCCCAGAAAAATACTACTTTCGAAGTGTTTGCTTTGGGGAGGGGCGAGACCTTCAAGGATGCCTGCTATTAAAGTTACCCACTGCTGCTCACCCTGGCAACTCTGATAAGCATGCTAAACAGGCTATTTTTCACTGTTTTCTTATCATTCCAGAGCTTACATACTCGATTTAGTACTGACAAGTCATAAAAGAGATAGATATTAAATGCTATCTTCTAAATACCACAACTTTATTGACGTATTGCTAGAAAAGTTTGTGCTTAACCATTTTACATCTTTTAAAACCCACAAGAGAGGCACGGCACCAGTTATGCCATGCCCTTCCTTCGAAGGCAAGGAAGTTTTGACCAAAACTAAGGTAACATTCACAGAAAGAGCACACGCCAGAGGCGTCCAGACAAAATACTCACAGGGAGGTCCCTCAAACCAACGCCTTCAAGTTCGCACCCGGATGATAAAACGTTTACTAAGGACCCACAACAGTGTAGCTGCTCAACTTAACACCACTTCGGGGCGACTGTCGGCGACAGCGCCTCATGGCGATACCAAGGGCCAAGTCACCCCGCAGACGGGCAGCGGCGCATCTCCCGGCTGAGGTAGAGCCGCAGCCGGTGTCCCCACACACCGCCCCCCGCCGGCTCCTTCAGACCGCCAGGTAACGCGCGCGCGCGCCAACGGCTCCCCTCACGGCCATCAACTTCCTCAAGGAGGAGAGCGGGCACCCTGCACCCCCCCGGCGTCTCTCCCCGCTGCGGCACCGGAGGGCGGCCGGCCAAAGAGACCGCCTGACTGCCGCTCACCTCGCACAGGTGCCGTGCTGGTACGATGAAAACCTCTTACAACGGGCGGTTGCGCCCCCGCCAGCCCCGACCCCCCTCAGCAGCAGCCCAAGCTCTCCTCAGGGGAAGGCGCTTTTTTCTGGCGCCCGTCAGCACCCCCGCAAGGACACGGACCTCCCCCTCCCGCACTCTCAGTTCACGCCGTCCCCTTGCTCAGGGACATCGCATTGCCACAGCCTCCCGCTCCCCTGCGGCTTCTTTCTGATCAGTTTACAGCTCTTCCTGCTCCCCTCCTCCTCCCTGCTATTGCTCTCCCTCCTCCCCCCCCCCCCTTTCCTCCAGACCCTCCGCCAAGGGGTGATGCAAGGCGCCCCGTCTTGCGTTATGGGAGGGAGGAAAAGAGGAAGAAAAGAAAGCAGAAGGAAAGGGGAAACTCAATAAACCATCAAGGTGAAACGACAGCCGACCTCCATCCCGCCCGGACAGCGACCATCCGTCCCCCACCAGCGTCGCCACTTCAGAGCGTGTCGCCGGAGCCGGGACCCTCTGGCCCTCCTTCCTGACCGTCCTCCCACTGTCCCCGAGGGATACTCCCCGCCTCCCTCACCGCTCTCCCTTCAGCGCCGTTTCTCCGCGCCTCTCCCTTTGGTAACGAGCCGAAGACCGGAGGCAGCCGCTCGCGGGGACTCGGAGCTCCGCTTGCCGCACTCTTCCTTCAGTCGAGTGGGCGCGGGGACTGCGTGGCTCCGTTTGGCCCGGCCCGAGGCCCTGCTTCTGCCGAAGCCCCTCCGCTGCGGCGCCGGGCCCGCCTGTCGCCTCCGCCCAGGCTCTGCTTCACCTGCTCCGGGGCTGGGCCGGGAGGGCACCCTCGCTCCGTCCTCCCTCAACTTCTCATCACTTTGCCCCCGCCCCTCTCCGCTGCGCTGTCGCCCCGGCACCCCGCCGCCCGCATACACAGGCTCTGCTGTCCTTCCCCCTCAGCAGCGATGCTGCCCTAGGGTCCCTCGGCTAGACGAGGAAAGGCTCCCCTGGCCCTTCCCAGCGCGGACTGCTGCCGTCCCGGTCCCCAGGCGCCCTCCAGCCCCATGCACTGCCTCGGCCCCTAGGACGGTGAGGAGCTCCCGGCGGGGCAGGTTCCCTGTGCCCGCCTCTGTACGCGCTCCACCAATTAGCCCGGCCGCGGGAGGCTCCGCCAGACGGGCAGGCCCTGCCTCCGAGGGAGCGGCCGTGGCCGTGTTAGCGACGGCCGCTCCGTGTCGCCGTGTTTCTGGCTGGCTTCGCGGACCGCTTCCGTGCTCTACCGCAGCGGAGCACGCTGTCATTCGTGCCTTGAAGTGAGCTTTGAAAAGCGCGGAGGATTGACGAGGGGCAAGCCAACACCCTGAGTAAATCGTAATCATAGCTTGTCGTAACCACGAGGAGTATCTCGACAGAACCGTGCCCTAATGTTGGTCGTCTTTTTTCATTTTCAGTTGGTTTTGGTTAAAAACAAAGCATACGATAAAAGCTTCCTAAGCCTTTTTTCCCCCACATCCCCACGTCTTTCGTTAGACCTAAGTGCAGTTGTCTAATTAGTGCTGGGTACTTGAGTGATACACCATCCTTTATTTCCTCCTTCTGCAGGAAACAGTGCTTGGGGAAGGTTGACCTAAAAGGGGTGTAATGGTCCTGTATTTCCAGACCTCTGTGATCTTGGGAAAGATCTACAGTAGCCTTCTAAGCCATTCGCTGAGGAAACTCAGGTACTAAGGGTAATTCTTCAATTAGTTTTGTGTGTGTGGTTTGGATGTGGGGTGGGTTTCTTTTTTTGTTCTGGTGTCGTCCTGTGTCCGTGTGTGTCCGTCCGTCCCGTCCTGTCCCCCCCGTTGTTATATAGTAAAAGTGTAATTTCATAGCTGTCAGGTTATTAATAAAGTTATTTGAAAGAACAAGATTTGTCTCACTGTCTGCCACACACTTTTTAAAATTGCAACACTTGTGCTGCTTAAGTTACAGATTCAAAAGTGTTTTATGGACCTACCAAGGTAAATGCTTTTTTCATTGAACTTTAAGGAAAAAGAAGTTTTGGGTAGCCTTACTGATTTAACAGATCATGTTACTCCTTCAATAAAAGTGAAGGTTTAGGTTTCATCAGGCAAAACAAGAAAGGTAATGAAATGCATGTTAAGAAAACTGAATGTAAGCTCTAAATTAATCTCCATTCTAGTAAAGATGGCTTGAAAAAAATATGAAACTTTCATTCAAGCTAATCAAATTTATTTGGAATATAGAACTTCTCATGACATTCATTATAGAGCCTTTTAAAAGTTCTTCTGTTTCTTGCATATAAAACAAATCATTAAAGTTCCTCAAATCATGTGACCTGTATGAGATCTAGTTAACATTAAATGAGGTGTTAGGGTTTAGTGAGTGATACTCAAATCCCACAAAGTAATAGTGGCCTCTGGCTTTGAGGTAAGTATTGAGCTTCTAAAAATGAGGTTCTGAACTTAAATGTCCCAGAATCAAGCATACAGAACCACTGTTGTGTTGAAAGTTTTAGTTACTTCCAGGCAAAAGAAATTTTAAACTGTAAAGCCAATTGAAAACAGTAAGTTGGATAAATTTGGCTCCTTTGCATATCTAAAGTACCTGCTGATAACTGTTTTAGTAAATTCCAAATAAACCAGAGCCGTTCTTAGGTTCACAGTAGGCTTAAGTCTGATTTGAACCAAATTTAGATTTTGTTTACATTTCTCTGAGATATGTTGGAATCCCCTCCATATTTATGAGGATTGTTCTTGTTTCTTGAGTAGCAGCTTTAGTAAAGCTGTTCTTACTGTGGAAGTAGCAATGCTGAAAAGTAGCAACTGGTGCAATGACCTGGGGAATTTTATGAAAATTACTTAGAAGACCTAGGTAAAAAATTGATTTGAGAGTTTTCATGGAATGTTGTACTGAAAAATGTCTCATGGTGAGACATTTTCATATGGTGGTAGTATTTTAAATTTAATTACTGTATGCTATTTACTAGCAATGCAGGAGAGATTTTTACTTCCAGGCGCTTTTTTATTCATCCCCACACCTTCTACCTCTCTAGTCAGCAAGTGAAAGTTGCCGGATTTTATTAACGTTCTGCTTTCCCAGTTTCCTCTCTTCAGCAGACTGGCACAGGTCAAATCATTTTATTGAAAATTAGTGTATTCAAAGTTAGTGATTGCATTGCAGCTTGATGCAGTGATCTTACTTTAGTGAAAATGTTTCAACTCAAAGTACATGGTATTGTACTGTCTTCGCCTGTTATGATTACATGCTATTGCAAAATTGTTTGTATTTCAAACTCCAGATATGCATATAAATTTGTATTTAAAAAAATCTGGTTTTCTTTCAAAGATGCTTTTTTTTCATTTGAGGGTAATACTGATATACATGGTATCTAATGTTACCATAGCACCTGTTCTCTGAGTGAGTGACTTTTGGATTGGAAGAGAATCTTCAAACAGGAACACTTAGTATAATCTCAGTTTACTATTTCCTGAGCTAATCCTGTAATGATTTCCTTTTCTTTGACTAGTCCAGGAAAAGCAACTTCAAATAGTGACTGTACTTGGATATCTCTTCAGTGGTTTCCTGGTATAGAAGATTCCAAATATACTAAATGTTGATTGTCTTTCCTTCAGTGTCATAGAATCATAGAATAGTTAGGGTTGGAAAGGACCGTAAAATCATCTAGTTCCAACCCCCTGCCATGGACAGGGACACCTCCCACTAAACCATGACACCCAAGGCTCTTTCCAGCTTGGCCTTAAACACCGCCAGGGATGGAGCATTCACAACTCCCCTGGGCAACCCATTCCAGTGCCTCACCACCCTAACAGGAAAGAATTTCTTCCTTATATCCAATCTAAACTTCCCCTGTTTAAGTTTTAACCAGTTACCCCTTGCCCTATCACTACAGTCCCTAATGAATACTCCATCCCCAGCATCTCTATAGCCCCTTTTCAGATACTGGAAGGCTGCTATGAGGTCTCCACGCAGCCCTCTCTTCTCCAGGCTGAACATCCCCAACTTTCTCAGCCTATCTTCATACAGGAGGTGCTCCAGCCCCCTGATCATCCTCATGGCCCTGCTCTGGGCTTGTTCCAACAGTTTCATGTCTTTTTTGTGTTGAGGACACCAGAACTGTACACAATACTCCAAGTGAGATCTTACGAGAGCAGCTTAAAAGGGGTGACCTACTGGTCATGCTCCTTTTGATGCAGCCCAGGATACTTTTGGCTTTCTGGGCTGCAAACGCGCACTTAGGCTCATGTTCATTTTCTCATTGACCAACACCCCCAAGTCCTTCTCTGCAGGGCTGCTCTGAATCTCTTCTCTACCCAACCTGTAGCTGTGCCTGGGATTGCTCTGACCCAGGTGTAGGACCTTGCACTTGGCATGGTTAAACTTCATGAGGTTGGCATCAGCCCACCTCACAAGCATGTCGAGGTCCCTCTGGATGGCATTCCTTCCCTCCAGGGTATCAACCGAACCACACAGCTTGGTGTCATCGGCAAACTTGCTGAGGGTACACTCAATCCCACTGTCCATGTCACCGACAAAGATGTTGAACATGACCAGTCCCAACACTGATCCCTGAGAGACATCACTCATTACTGGTCTCCAGCCAGACATTGAGCCATTGACCACAACTCTTTGCGTGCGGCCATCCAGCCAGTTCTTTATCCACTGAGTGGTCCATCTATCAAATTGATGTCTCTCCAATTTAGAGACAAGGATGTCCTGAGGGATAGTGTCAAACACTTTGCACAAGTCCAGGTAGATGACGTCAACTGCTCTACCCCTGTCCATCAATTCCGTAATCCCACCATAGAAAGCCACCAAATTGGTCAGGCAGGATTTCCCCTTAGTGAAGCCATGCTGGCTGTCACCAAGCACCTTGTTGTTTTTCATGTGCCTTAGCATGCCTTCCAGGAGAATCTGCTCCAAGATTTTGCCAGGCACAGAGGTGAGACTGACTGCTCTGTAATTCCCCAGGTCACCCTTTTTCCTCTTCTTGAAAATGGGGGTTATATTTCCCTTTTTCCAGTCTTCGGGAACTTCACCTGACTGCCATGATTTTTCAAATATGATGGCCAGTGTCTTAGCAACTTCGTTTGCCAGCTCCTTCAGGACCCACAGATGGATTTCATCAGGTCCCATGGACTTGTGTACATTCAGGTTCGAATGGTCTGGAATCATATCCTCTGCTACAGTGGGCCTAGGGTCTTCATTCTCACGGTCCCTGTGTCTGCCTTACAGGGCTCAGGTGGTGTGGTCAGAGCATTTGCCAGTGAAGACTGAGGCAAAGAAGTCATTCAGAACCTCAGCCTTCTCCAAATCCAGCATAGCCAGTTCTCCTCATAGCTTCCAGAGGGGGCCTACGTTTTCCCTAGTCTGTCTTTTATTTGCGATATACCTATAGAATCCCTTCCTATTATTCTTAACATCCCTAGCCAAGTTTAATTCTAACTGGGCCTTAGCTTTCCTAACCTGGTCCCTAGCTTCCCAGACAACATCCCTGTACTCTTCCCAGGCCACCTGTCCTTGCTTCCACCTTTTGTAAGCCTCTTTTTTTATTTGAATTATCCTCAGGAGCTCCTTATCCATCCAAGGAGGTCTCCTGGGCCTCCTGCTGCACTTCCTTCTAGTTGGGATGCAACACTCCTGACCTTGTAGTAGGTGATCCTTGAATAACAACCAACAGTCTTGGGCCCCCTTGCCCTCTAGGGCTATATCCCATGGAACCTTACTAAGCAGGTTGCTGAAGAGGCCAAAGGCTGCTCTTTTGAAGTCCAGGGCAGTGAGCTTGCTGCACGCTCTTCTCACTGTCCTGAGGATCTCGAATTCGACCATCTCATGATCGCTGCAACCAAGGCTGCCCTGGAGCATCACATTTCCAACGAGCCCTTCCCTGTTGGTGAGCACGAGGTCAAGCATGGCACCTCTCCTTGTCGGCTCCTCTATTACTTGCAGAAGGAAGTTGTCTTCCACACAATTGAGGAACCTCCTGGATTGCTTGTACTGGGCCATACCATCGCTCCAACATCAGGGTGGTTGAAGTCCCCCATGAGAACAAGGGCCTGCGAGCATGAGGCTGTTCCTATCTGTCTGTAGAGTGCTTCATCTGCAGGTTCTCCTTGATCAGGTGGTCTGTAACAGATCCCCACAGTAATGTCTCCCATAGCTGTTCTCCCTTTAACCCTGACCCACAAACTCTCTGTGGACTGCTCACCTGTCCCCAGACAGAGTTCCATACTCTCCAGCCTATCCGTAACATAAAGGGCAACTCCCCCTCCCCACCTGCCAGGCCTGTCTTTTCTAAAGAGCCTGTAACCTTCCATTCCAACACTCCAGTAATAGGAGCAATCCCACCATGTTTCTGTGATGCCTATTATATCATATCCCTGTAGATGTGCACACGTCTCTAATTCCTTGTTTCCCATCCTATGGGCGTTTGTATAGAGGCATCTGAGCTGAGCTCCAACTGAAGCCAGCTCATTGCTGGAGCGGCTGGAATATCCCTACATTGCTCCAAGCATTTATTATAGGTGTTGGCAACTGACTGGGTGTGTTGGGATGGAATGATGCCCCCCTCCCCCAACACATCTAGTTTAAAGCATCCTTGACCAGTCTGGCAAGCCTCCTACCAATATGGACATAAAGCGCAGTTGGGGGTGAAACCTTCAAACATTCCCTATCACAATAATTTTCCAAAGTAATTCAAACCAGAATTATTAACTTGTGTGATGTGGTTATTAGTTTGTAATACCAAGTTTCAACTTGTTGCAATTTAACATCTCTCAGAAATACTAGGCACTCCTGGAGACTCAAATTAGTGTCTTGGCAGATAAAGTAGTATTTACTCCGGAATATCAGTGTCTTGTACATGACAGCCCCAATCTTTTATTGCCTTTTTATTTCAATAAACAATATAGTGTTGTTCATATAGTTCATCATTGAAGAGAAGCAAGTAACCTGTAGATTGTTTTCAGAACAAAAAGTGTGCTTAATGCACACTTGATTTGGGTTTTTTTCTGTGTTTAACTCTTTGTTCTATTTGTTACTTACATACTTACAGCTATCAGCATAAATATAAGGTATCAATTATTAATTAAGCTATTATTATAAGTCTAAGGTATAAGGTATATAACACAATACTGAAACATGGAATTTTTGTACTCTTGTAAATTCCGAAACAACACAGAAATACTGCATTGCAAAAATTCCAGAATCTTGGAATTCAAAATTGTGATATGGAAATTAGATTAAAATAAAATAATAAAAAGTCACAAAATGCTATAAATATGACGTATTTTTTAATTTTATTAGCATTTTACAGGGCTAATGAACACTTCAGAAGTGTTTTTTAATAAACTGTTACTATTGTCCAAAGGGGCACCTTCATATTATTTTCCTAGAGAGGAATTTCTTTCATTTACTTTTAAGTTGGGTGCCAGTGTCATTGAAGTTATTTTTACTAAGGAACAAGAAATGCATCTTGACATGAATTGTTTCTCTGAGGGATTTAGAACTTGATTCTGTTGGATAAAGGCAAAATTGCAGCAGCTGCAGAGCACTGTTTCCTTTTGTGCTTTCTTCCCACTAGAGTTTTTGTCATGCTCATAAGAATCTAGAAATATTACATTGTTAATTACAGATTTATGTTCCTTCAAGTTTGGTTAATTGGACTGAACAATGTATGTAAGTTAAATTGACATTTCTGTCCCTTGTGCTTTACTCCTGGTTTGTTTGGGTCTGTTGGCAAAAGAGAGCGGAATTTCTCCAGTAAATTTCTAGATCATGATGATTCACATACAGTTCCTTAAGTGTTTTTTTTTCCTACTGCCTTGACTGTTTTGACTACATATACATATACTTCAAGACTAGAAGCATCACCTTCCTTATAACTTATCTAAGATGGTGTTGGCTCATTTTGCTTGTTAAATGGTATGAGATCATAAGCAGCCTAAATAAGGTTTTTAGTTCTGTTGCCTTACCAACATGCCAGATGGAACTAATAATCTGCAATATATTCTCTAATTTACTGCAGTGTTACCAGACAGCCGTCTCTTCTGGATCTGCTTGCCATGTCTTGTATCCTTGTTCACAGATCCCCATAAACACAAGAAAGATGTACCTCCATATATTAACAATAAGAAAACAAAAAAAGAGTCTTTAGGTTTTGCAACTACAGTCTCATTTACAGGACTCTGTTTAAATTGGTACAAAACTGACAAGAAATCCCTCAATTTATGAGTTTGTATGCTCTGTAGTAGTGAGCCCTCAGCACAAGAAATACCATATGGACAAACAAAGTTCCCCTAGGCCACTATTCAGCTTCTGACAATGGGAAAAGAAAATACTCTTCAGAGACAATTCAGCCACTTCCTATAATCAGTTCCCCTATACTCCCCCAAGATGTATAGTTACTGTATTTGGGTAGTTACAGGATAAATCCATACCTTTAGTGATGACTTGTTGCCCACAAAGCTGCTCACTCCCTTTTGACTCTGCTGCTGAAAAAGCCTGCCTCTGTAATTTCTGTGGTAATAAAAGCAATAAAGGTCAGCTGCTTTTCCAGAAGAGCTTGGAAGATTCAGCTCTTGAAAATTAATCTATGTTTGAGCATTTTAAA